GTTCTAGTTCTGAGTTATAGTCTAGTATATTAGCTTTTATAAAGGCTAGTATATCCGCTAGTAGCGTGAATAAGGAAATAACTATTATAAGGTTTATTTACTAATCTTTAATTATCAGATCAGTCTCTTTTAGTGCTTTTAGTCTACTATAAGCTTTCTTGTTTAGAGCGATATTCAGGGTTTCTTATAGTCTTTCTAGGGAGTTTCAAATCCTTAAGTCAACTATCTCTTTAAAGCTGCTTTCTTTAATAATTACCTAACTAGATAAGATCGTTAATCTACATTCCGAGAAATATACTCAGAAGTGTTTTATTATATTTTCTGAATATCTTATTAAGACCCTAATCTTACTAAGATTAATAAGCTTATTATACTATTCGTTTATAAGTATTATCTTCTTATCTATATAATAAAAGCATTTACTCCCTTACTTACGGATATAGTTAATCGATAGTGTTTCTCTTATAAAGGCCTTGATTAGGCAGGTCTTTACACTGTTAGTTATAAGTCTAGTTATAATCTGGTTTCTTATATATAAGTCAGCTTTAGCAGCTTTATCCTAGAATTCTAGTAGTAATTAAGTATCTTTAAGTATTACACGTATATCAAATTCTATAGTCTGAATTAATTATTTAGCAGGTCTATTCTAATACGAGGATATAGTAGTTATTAATTATACTAGTACTCTATCTTTAATTCTTTAATTATTAGTAGCCTTAAGCAGTTTAGGTGTATTATCTAATCTTACCTACTTAACTTTCTTACTAGATTATAGTTTAATACTAACTTTCTAATCTTAAAGTACTTAATAAGTATCCCCTTTAGTTTTTAGTAGAATTACTTAGTCTTAGTAAGAACAGATATCAATAATTAGCAGAAAGGAGTAAGTACCTCTAATTAACGTTAGGAATAGTCTGGTAATATTAAATTATACTAAGTTAAGGATTTCAGTAGGCTACGCACTTGGTGCCTTTAGAATCCGGTTCTTTATCTTTGTAATAGCACATATGTTATAGATATCTTAATTCTTAGGAATCTTAATTACTTTTTTTAGTGTAGTTATATTATATAAGTTCTGAATCTTTTCAAGAGTAAGGTATATAAATCGTCGGTAGTACTTAAGGTATCGCTTAAAGTCCTTTATAGTAGCTGTGTTATTATCTGTTAAGTTATCTTTTACTAGTTTAATAGCTAGTAGAGCTTTTAGGGTTTTAAGTTAACTATAGTTAACTTTTCTAATAGTTCTAATTACTTTCTTATTAAATGCTTTAGAGATATACTTTATAATATAAAGACTATGAGATTACTTTACCTTTAGAACTCTTTTATTCCTTTTAGTAATCTAAATATTCTTATTATTAAAGGTTCCACGATAGCCACTTTTATATAATTTTTTTACTAAGACTAAATTCATACCTAGCTTAAGAATATAGAGTATATTATCTAGAAAACAGGAAGTTCTATTTATTGCCTTAACTAGTATAACTCTATGTATATGTAAGTATAATATTCCTCTCTTAACTTAGATACAGACTTTAAATATAAGTCTTAGTTCTTTAAATAAGTAAAGTTAGTTAGTTATAAATGAACTTACGCTTATATCAACTGTTTAGTCTTTAAGGATACTCTTACAGATTAACTCTTTAGATAGTATAACCTTTTTAGTAGCGTTATCTTCCTTATTAGAAGAGATATCTTTACTAGTATAATTAGACTTATTAGATACGTTATTATCTGAATTATATACTACTATATAACTCTTTCTTTTACATTTAAAGTAATAAGACGAAGGGCTTTTCTTAATAAGCTTAAAGTAATCCTTTTATTTAGATCAGGAGTAAGGGGTCTTATCTTTAACTTATGATCTTAGCTTATATGTCAGCTTAGCTTATTCTTTCTTCTCTTTCTTTAGTGAGAGCTTTTTAGCGTATTCTCTGCTAGCAGCTTAAAACTTATAGTCAGCGATAAAATAGTCTTTAGATCTGTAATAGTAATATTCTAGAGCTACTTTAGTTATATTATAATCTGATAAACTGCTATCTTAGTAAAAGTAGTAGTTAAAGTAATAGTATACTTACTTGTATTATTACTAGGTAGTATATACCTATTCCTTACTTATACTTCGCAGCTTTAAATCTTGTATATAAGATTCCTTTTCTTATAAGATCTTAACTTTCTTATCGACTATTAAGGATTATTAAGTTAAGAAACTATCTACTATAGTAATATATCAGCTTTACTTTTAAAGAGCTAAGGTTAAAATTAAGAAAAGTGCTTTATTAGGGTATATGTTCTTTATTATATTATTTGCTGTAATAATCTTCTGTCAGTACTCCTTTAGCTTACTTTATAATCTATTAATACTAATGTCTTTATTAAAGGTAAAGTTTTGAATACTTATTATATATTAGTTAGCGGTTGATAAGCTAGTCTTATTATACTTTAGCTTTAATTATGTTTAAATAGCAGAAGCAATCTTATGCTTATTAATAAGTATAGTATTATCTTCGCTGAGTTCTTTTAGTATGATTTCCAGGGCTTTTATGTTATCTTAGTCTTATTATTTAGCTTTATTAAGGTTCTATATTCCTCTAAGTCGCTTAAATCCTATAGTAATCTCATCTACTCTTAAGTTAAATAGTATCTTAAAAGCAGCGACTTTAGCTCTACTCTCTCTTTCTCTTAAGATCTATATATATTCAGTCTTAGTTACCTCGATAGTATAGAAAACGCTTTTACTCTTAATCTTAACTTTTACGCAGCGAAACTAGTCTTTATAACACTCTTTACTTAAGGTTAGTAAGTACTTACTATCTTTTCTTATTTTATATGTTTATTAATATATAAAAATCAATACTTTTTAAATAGACGGTTTTATATATATATAGTTAACGAAGGGTTTTAACGTGTTATTAACTTAAGGTTATATAAAAACCACACTTGATTTTATAATTATAAGCAGCTTTTTTCGCGTGTTACTTAACTTTTTATATTTATACAGAGCTTCTTTTAAAGTCTATAAGTTATACGGTTATTATAAGACTCCCTCTAAAGCTTATAAGTCGTTTAGTTAGTTACAAGAGCACTTCTTACTTAGCTTCTTAACTTATTATTATCAGTACTCTTACTTAGCCTCTTAGTCCTTCTTACTTAGACTAGTCCCTCTTCTTACTTTAAGAGGTTCGAATTAATCGCCTTACTTTTATTAATTCGCTTATCTTAATTTATCTGCCTAGGGCTTATAATCTATTAAAAGGTGTAGCCTTTTATATAGTATATTCATAAGGCTAGGTAAGAAAGACTAAATAATAATAAGTAAGACTATTTATATTAGATAGTAAAGTTAATAATAGTTAACTCCTTTACTTTATTACAGGTTTAGTTACTATAAGTTATACCTTTAAGAAGTATATTTATAAAGCTATATAGAACTATCTACAGAAGAAGCTATAGTATATAAAGAGTTAAGTACCCTTAACTAGGCTATCTTCAGCCTAGCGATACACGTGATATCTGGCCTGAATCCCTTTATATTCTAACAAAACTTAATATAAACTCTTATAGTAATATAAAGCTATTTACTCTTATATATAACTAAGTAAGTAGCTATTAGTAAATCTCTTTAAAGTTAATTAAGCTTTACCGAGCTCTAGACTTTTCCTAATCGAGTATAGTAAAGAACTAGTTACTATTACCTTTATATCTATAGAGTTATAGCTTTTATAATACTATAAGACTTAAGTATTATATAATCTCTATTAATTGGCCTCCTTACTCTATTAATTCAAATCCGATTAAAAATATCTAGAGAGTTTTAAAGTAAAAGCTATATAATAAAAATCCTTATAGTAGCTAGACTTTAGAAGACTTAAAAGTAAATATTCTAGATATCTAGGAAAACAAAATCTCTATTAAGCTAATTAATAGATTTAAAGATATAATACTAGAAAGAATAGTAAAGGTTAGATTAAGAAAGAGGGAACTTTCTGGATAGTAAATTATTACTATAAATAGCTATCCCTTTATCCGCTGAGATACTGCCCGCGCTAGCAGGGGAAGCTAAATAAAGCCTTCTTATTCGCCCGGAGATAAGGCTCAACTATCGTTCAGTGATATAACCAATTAAAACCCCTACTCCTTATTCCCTGCTAGCTTAGGCAGTGTCTCAGCGGACGAAGGGATAGAATACAGCAGAATCAAGGGGGTGTACGAGGCCCACTGTTAACCCCCTGTCGTGCTAAGATAACTTTCCAGCGTATTACTTTCTATGTGTATCTTTCCGGCACGTTACTTTCTCTCGTATTGAAAGTTTACCGCGTTACCTTCCAGCCCATTCCTACTGTGGCGGGCCGCGACTCGAACACCCACACAATAAGAGAGTTAGCAATTCAAGGCACAAGGATTACTTTGATACAAAGAAGCGGATTAAGCAAATGTCGAGATATCACATATCTGAAGTGTGGGGTTTGTCAAATAAAGGGCGGAGAAGAGAATGGATTAGATAGAATCTCTCTAAAAAGCGTAGTTATCGTGATAATCTTAGGTAATGCTATTAATCATGATGTTCCAAAGGAGTGACAGTTCAGAATCTCTAAGTACCACCGGCCAGCTGCACCGGTAACGTGACTTCCATCCACTACGCTAAGCACCAAAATCAGGTGGCCCTGCCACATTATTAAAAAAATATAAAGTAAGCTGTTTTTCCGTGGCGCTGGGGAATTTCTCACCTTGGAGGATATAAAGCCAAAGTGGTTCTGACTGACGATGTGCACAAGAGCCCGACGACAGACATCAGTTTGGAAAACACCATCTCTGGCTTGGTTCATCCACTGTCAGAATGTAGAAGGATAGCATTATGGGCGAGAAACAACGGTCTCAAGGTCCATCTTGACGGAGCGAGACTCTGGGAAACTGTTGCAGCTGGAGCTGGATGCCCGAAAGACTTTGCTGAGTGTTTCGATAGTGTCTCCGTGGATTTCTCCAAAGATTTAGGTGCTCCCATGGGCGCTATGATTGTTGGCAGCGAGAATTTCATCAACAGAGTAAGGAGAATCAGGAAGAGAGTGGGCGGTGGAATGAGGCAATCTGTCGTCTTAAGTGCAGCGGACTGGGCTGCTCTCGATAACTTCAACAAGCTTCCGGAAGTTCATCGACTCGCAAGAACGGTGGCTGACATGTGGATCGTGAGAGGAGGACGACTACGCAGGAGGACAAGAACGAACCTTGTGTGGCTGGATTTGAGAGATGCTCAAGAGTTTCGTCGCATAGGCATTGAACATGGGATTCAGCTTGATGGATGTCGAATCGTGCTGCATCACCAGATCAGCCGGAAGGCTATCCTTCGTCTTGGCCAGGTTTTTGATACTGTTCTGGCTTCGAGTTTGTTAGGCAAAACTAAGTGAAGCGCTCTGGCATGCAAAGTTTCATGTATAAATTTCTTAGACTTGGACAGAACGTTGAGAGGTTGCTAAGCAGATTACTGGTGCTGTCAGCTCCAAGCGATATGTAAACAATTAAACGATGAGCAAAGCGAAAAGCCTCGAAACCTGCCGAGGACATCACTATACTGACTCGCAGGATTGACACAAGCATGTTATAACATGCCATAATGGGATTCCTCCCTCATCATGGCGACACGACGGTAAATGCAGTTATTTAGAAGGATGATACGCTTCTTTCTCCCTCCTGCTCCTAGGGAGTTCTTGGCAACCCCGCATTTTTTACCCCTCGATTTTGCGTCTCTATTGACTTTAGGTTCCGACGAGTAATATTGGAAAGCCTATGTATATAAAGAAGCAATACTGTACCACTTAGGCAAGCCACACTTCAGAAATCTTTAACTTACTTTGTCATTTTGGTAAGAGTCCTTCTAGAAACGAAATCCACTCTGCAAAGCCCGCCCCCACTTCGTTATCGCGATTGTCGCTTACCCACGGCCAGGCCAGTTGCGAGTACTGTACGATGGAGATCAGATGGATGGCATTTCCATTTTCCTTGGAACAGCAATATTTCGCTTCTCGCCTTAGCCACGCAACGTCATCGCCTTGTGGGCACGAGAGTCGAGACGAGACAACAGATAAGGTAAGCTCTTTGTGTCACATCACATCCTCATCCTCTTTTCCCCTCTTCTCTTACTTATTCTTTTCAGCTCCTCCAACACAAACACAACAATACCTTCAAATCAAGCCTTCACGATTCAAACCACCCGAACTCAACAACACCCTACATCCCGCAAATATGTTCTCCCAAGCGCTTACCATCCTCCTCCAGCTCTCTCTCTTCTCCCTCGTCATGGCAGAGGAGACGATGCTCGCGACATCCCACGGCAACGCCTGGAAATACGGCAGTGGAGGTGGGATCGTTGGGCTTATTGTTTTAGTTCTCGATGTGATTGCGTTCAGTACGTGCCTAAATCCCTCCCTCCCATGAATTTCCCTTCCCCTCCTATTCTATCGCACTCCTTTCACTATCTCTCAGAATCCTAGGATAGTAGCTAATTCTTCTTCTTTCTACCCCCACAGTCGAGATCCTCAAATCTGGTCGCCCAGCCCTCAATAAGCTGCTTTGGTGTCTCCTTGTCTTCCTCTTCCCAATCGTTGGCTTGATTATCTATTTCTTCTTCGGACGTACTGCTTCTAGCAGTGGATCTTACGAGCCTATCGTCTAGAGGATGCGAGTGGCTCGGGACAGGCCGGGGGCTTGGATGGGGAAGAATATTGGACTTGGTGGGGGAGTTGAACATGAAGTACATGATGGAAGTACACCGGGGAGGACTACGCATCTGTGGGAGGGAGAGGAAGTCGTTCGGGTGCTGAGTGCAGGTCGCTCAGCCAATGACGGGATCTATGAACTTCACGAAACCGGTTGCGGAATCTTTATGGGGAAGGGCGAGCGTTTCGTTTTCAAATTGCATGGCCTTTCCTTCTACCTCTATGTTTGCATACCGCATGCGCCTGAATATATCGTCTGAATGTCACATACAGCTTGCGTCACATTCTATGAGCTTCATTGTCTTCATTCTCTGCCAATTTTGTCCAAATCCACCACCTATCATCACCTTCCACCCCCAGCTACCCCGGCACACCCCCAAACCCACCTCCAAAATCCATAAACAAGTCCTGAAAATCAAACGGTATCCAACAAAACGTCAATCCCGGAAAACTCCAGTCCATAATAAATTCCTTCGGCACATAACTCTGGAAATCCACCTCAGCATCCACCTCCCCTCCTCCCTCATTCCCAACACCAGCTCCGATCCCACTACTTGAGACAGGCAGACCGTTCAGATTCAGTGCTTTCTCGCACTTCTCAACGCTCAGGCAGAGGATCCGGTAGTATATGTTGCTGGAGCCACGGACTTTCGAGAGGTGTGAGAGTAAGCTTCTGGCGGAGGTGATTAGGCTGGACATGTCTGTTGAGGAGGAAGGGAGGAGTCGCGCAAGTTTGAGGAGGAGGAGAACTGAGAAGGCGCATTTTGCTGAGAGTAGTGCGTATGTCAGTACATTCTACTTGAGATATGAAATAATTGTACTGGGAATCAGACATACCCCACACGAAATCCATTCCATACCGGAAGGTAGCAATATATAATTCGGGGTTCGAGAGGATGATTGAGAGATGTCGCTGTGCGCTGACTTTTGCTAGGCGGATGAGGTTCTGCTGGGAGTCGGACATGATGCTGGCGATAGTCAGCTGAGCCACATAGTTTTATTTTCAGAGTACTTACGCGACGTTTTCAATTCCCATTCCCTGCAGTCCTTGACATAGCATGGTCATTTCGGACCAGTCTCGTTGGATCTTGAGGTTGATTTCTAGACTCGCTCTCTCCTCTTCTTTATCGATATGCGACTCTGTTTGTGCATTCTGTCAGTCTTTCGAGTGACGCAAGTGTTCTGGATTGGTGCTGCAACATACCAACAAGATTGGTCCAGTCACTGCACATATTAGCAAGCTGTTGAATGTTGCTGGTGTGGGATACAAAGGAAGTACCTCAACCAAACACTCAAGTCAACCCTGGTCTCTTGGACAATTTCGGTCATTTCTTCATCACTCAAATAATTCTCGCTTCCCGTCTTAGGCACAAGACGTTCTTGTGCAAGTGCTGAACCGGTCAGCGGAAGCAACAAGACATGGAGAAGTCACGTACCTCGAATTGCATTCAACTACTTCTTGTCAGTATATCACCATATCATCGAGACCAGGAGCCAGACCTCAACTTGAGCCAGCAGTCTGAAATCCAGCATAGTTCTACTTGGATGCCCCAGCAGTACTCGACACCTCCTCATCCCATCCACAGCCTTCACTCCAGGATGCTTTCCACAATCTAAACTCAATCTTCCCATTCACTGTCAGTACTCATACCAAAATTCTAGCCCGGATTCTGGGAGCGAGCTTACATATGCTCCAACACAAAACTCCCAAACCACACCCTCGCTTCTCTCATCAGTTTCGCCTCCTCTTCTCTATCTCTCTTCTCAGCCTGCAACATGAGACTCGACAGTCTGTTGACCGCAGCAGGTAAGTTCAGATCCAAGGCTATCCGAGTCGCCATGCTGGTTAACAGCCAACCTTTCTCAGAATAGCATGCGTTGATAAGTAGTGCCTGGACGGTCTCAATTGTTTTAGAGACCGTTCCTAGCATCACTTCGCAGATTGGGGATTTGATTGCGTTGGTGAGAATCCGGTATTGGTCGGATCCCGGACCTGATGGGGTTAGTATAAGCAAAGAGCTGTTCTGTGCGAGGGAAAATCTCACCATGTTGAGCTCGACATCCTACTGCGCAGATTGAGTCGAACAGCATCGCACTTTTCTGCCTTACGCTGTCAAAGGTATCGTATTCCGGATCAAACACAGGGACGTATCGATCCTGTCATCGCATCAGCTCTAAAATCCTTCTTCAGGAATGTCATCAACTCAACTTACACATCCTTGGAAGAACGTCTGGAAATACAGATACGCATCACCCACAGTGACCAACCCCTTGCTCACAGCATCAGCAGTAGCTTCTACTGTCAACTCAAAATCTCTCCTCCTCCGCTTCAAGCTTAAACCGGGTTGCGGAACCGCATATCCACTATCTCCTAGGAGCGGAGGCTGAATTGGAATAATGTCAGGAGGCGGAACAACCTGCGCCTGACTCGTCAAACCAATTGAAGCAAGACTTCCCGCATTCGCAAACTGTAACTGTACTTGATTATACGACGACGAAGGCGACATAGAAGGTATGCTATTCTGGATTTGCTGGTGCTGTTGCTGCTGTTGTAACTGCAGCAGAGTCACTGCGGTTGAGGTATCAGGAGCCGAGTTCCGTAGTGCTGTGAGTTCCTCCTCGAGCCTCGCGACTTTCCTACGATGAAGAGTAAATATCTTGGGAACAGAACATAAAGTGACAAAAGTGCCCCAAGACTTACTGAATCAGAGCATCATCGGCGGTTCTCACATAATCGCACCAGGCGTTGGCCTTTCTGCATCGAGTACATGGCTTTCCTCCATCACATCTCAACTTCAAAGTCGGCAGTTAGCACGGAGCACATTTGGATGAGGACCACAATGTTAAGATTAGATGAGATAAGCTTACTTTGGAGTTTCTACATGCCGTACAAGCTTTCTGACAATCGAGAAACTGATCAGCATTGCCGGGCTTCGTCGTCAGGAAATACCAAGCCGAAGCGTTGCACTCACAAGAACTCGCCGCTTCTTCGGCTCAGCGTACCTGGCTTCTTCTGACTCCGTCTCCATCCTCATAGGAGTTTATACCTTGCATATATAGCTTTCATAGTTTTCGCTGCAGATCGGCAAGACGGAAGAGTCGCTCGCTCGCGGAGATGTATGCGATGTATGTGATGTAAGTTATGCAGCGGAAGATCGAACAGTGAGCAACAGCCGTCAGAGAGCGGGGTGCGGAGGAGTGTGGGGTTACTGTACGTAGCCAAGCACTTGCACCATAGATGCCGTGTTGACCTTACCCGAGCATCCTGATAGCGACTTCGACTGCAAGGCGAGGGGATTATCTATCATGCTCGGAAGAATTGTGCCATTCTTTGGAGTGAAGGGCCTAAATCTCCGACGGATATATGCTCAGAGTGGCTAGATAAATCAAGGTCAAAAGAATAAGAGTCCTTTTGTACAATTATTATTCCTTTCCACCCGCCCCAAACAAAATGTTTGGGTAAGGTGCCCCATGGCCGGGGTTCTAAACTAAAAGCTTGCTCTCTCTCATCTTGCATCGTTTCAAAGATGGCAGTCTTTACTAACTAACCCCCAGCAATGCAAGAGCTGCACAGTCAATCCCATACCAGGCATGCCATGCGAAAATATCGTTCTCGAAATACAACACAGAAAAGGAGTTGGGGGTCGGGTATTTTCCACTCATCTCGCAAAAACCTTGACAACACCGTCGCCACCAGCGCTGACCACCCATCTTCCATCCTTACTCCAGCAAACAGAACAGACGCCTTCTCCTCGCATGAGTCGATGGCTGGTAATTTCCTGGATGCAACTTCTCTTCTCCAAACTCCAAAATCTTAAGCTCGCGTCATGGCCAGCGGACACCAATTCTCGGCCATCGGGAGACAGCGACAAAGAAGATATAGCAGCTGGATGTGCCAGCATATTATATGTGCATTGACCTGGGACATAATGAGAATTTGCGTTTGGAAGGGGAGACTCAACCTTGGGGCGCTTACCGCTATTTGCGTCGTAAAATCTGATAAATCGATCCTCATGACCGGAAATAATGGTACCCTCAACTCCGCCACTTGACCCAGTAGCTCCTCCGACCACACCCTCCTCCTCTGACAGACCACGACTGGAGTCGAACGTCAGCGAGCTTTCAAGCCCAGCAGTTGTTGCGACGATGGCATTCACACCGGTGGCATCAGTGTGATCGAAGGTCTCAAGACTAGCCATAGCAGCAACTTCCTCTCCAGAGCGAGTGTCGTAAACAAGAACGGCGGCATCGGAATATGAAACAGCAAACGTATCACCTGAAGTGGATAATGGTGTGATACATGTTGGCGAGGCTGTGCTGTTCTCTCGAGATATTGAATGGATTAAAGTGTAGTGGAAAGGCGAGTTGGAAGCAACACTAGGTTGCGGCGAAGAAGGAAATCCGGATCCAGACGACATGGAATTGCCTCGAACGCGACCTCCTCTTCGCGAGGCACTTCCAGTCTGTGCAGGTGGTGACATCAACTGTGGTGGTGCACTGACAGACCAAACCTTGACAGTTCCGTCTGCACTACCGGTTGCCAGAATTATGCGGTCGGGGCCACCAAACGAGTTTGCGGGTCCGAAAACAGCACCTGTGGTCCCTGGCAACACACATACAGTCCAAACTGCATCGGTATGGCCATCAAGAGTCGCCTTCGGGTCAACTCGTCCACGTTCCCAGACTCGGACAGTCGCATCTTGGCCGCCGGAGAAGATCCATCCATCACCCTGTGCTCTTCCACCACTGGAGAAATTCTGTGATGGTGACCAAGCAGTGAGGCTCATCACAGCGCCTGTATGACCTCGGTGCGTGAAATAACTTTGGATGTCCAGATCATTGGCCGTGTGATGCATTCCTCCCTGGTTTTCGTATCTTGCAGGTATGATCCAGCGCTTTATTGTTCCATCGTCTCCAGCCGTACAGATCTCTGGCTCTCCTGGGCTTCCACCTCCAGTAAAGATGACAGAACGTACGGCATCCAAATGTCCCCTCAATCCAAATCTGACCTTGAAACTACCGCTGTCGACCTTCTGCGCTTGGTTCAAGAACAGTTCGTGATCTGCACTCTTCCGCCTTGACATGGATCCCTTTCTTCGATGCGATCCTGGCCCACGATTTGGAGACTTCGGTTCCTGAGCGATTGGGAACAAATCGGTATCGGGACGTTGTGGCGAGGGCTTCGGTTCTGGTTCAGGGAACTGCGCCGCCTCATTAAAGTCCCATCCATCTGCCTCCGTTACTGGCTCCTTCTCGACCTCCTCAACATTAATCTCCCTTCCGTACGAGTCAAAATTGTGGTTGACTTTGGTAGCCGGTTCCTGCGCAGGCTGCTCTGGCAGCTGGAAAGTAGACGACCATTCCTGCGCCGTGGCCGTAGGTAATGGTTGTTGATCTGCGAGTGATCGTGAGACTGTGATTTCTTGGGTTCTTATTGGCAGATTCGAGATTGGAATAGGAGGCGGATGGTGATTGGGGGTTGGTGACGGCCTTGAAAGGCTCGACTCTCGCATATTCTTCTGCCTTGCTTGTTGTTGGTATATCTCTTCCAGGCTTTGTTGCCCCTGGCCTGGACCATATGAAGGTTGCAGAAGTATCTCGTCGGGAGGTGGAAGCTCTCGAGGTGGTAGAGGATTCGAAGGTGACACCATGAGGTAGGTGAGCTCTCCTTGTGTTTTGTCCATAAAATTCTTCAGATTGCCACGATCTGGATCATCATCTGCCTTCTCTCCCTCTCCCTCGGTGTCCAGAAACGAATTATGAGGTTTGTCTTGAGATGCTGTAAGCTGTCAGTATATTACACATCAGCTTCCACACAGTTTGGAAATACATACGCCGTTCTCTCTTAACAGCAAGATGCTCTTGGTCTTTGTCGCTGGGAGAGTCTTTGACCTGCACATCACCGCCTGTTTTGAGCGCTTTGACTTGGGCATCCCGATCTTTCAAAGCCTTCTCCAACATGCTGATATACTTCTTCAAGCTCTTGTTGCTAGCATCACTCTTCCGCGTGCTACCCTCTAACCTTGCGATCCGTCCTTTCATCTCCTGCCTCTCGATCTCCCAACTATTGCGATCTCGCTCGTGCCTATGCCATTCGGTTTGGAGGAAGCGCATGACACCTGTGCCCAGCTAGAGTTAGCATTTTCCCCAGCACACTGCGCCTCATATTGATTCCACGTACCCTGTAGAGTATATTCTGTGCCCTGCGGCTGGTTCACTTGCTGAGGACCATCGCCGCCTCCATTACCTCCTCCATTAGAGCCCGCCCCCCTCCCTGAGAGGGACTGCCAGGCCATGGTGAGCCTTCCCACGCAGACAGAACGGTAGAAACTCCCGAAATATAGTGAGACCTTTGCACAAGCTCACGCTCTGTTGGCGCTGCTGTCGTTGATGCTCGCGGGCATCTGTTGTGGTCGGCGCAAGCTGGCCCCTGAGCTGGTTGACGGTTGGCTGGCTCTCAATTGATCATGGCAGCAGAGCGTCTGGTCGAAAAAAATCGGGAAGCGAATGGTCGTGCAGCTGGAGCAATGGTTCTCGGTGCTGGGCGAAAGCCGTGGACGTGGAAATCGCGTTTGCTGATCACTGTCAGTTCAGTGATGTTCTTCGCGTCAAGTCTAGGATTGTCCCGTCTGCTCTGAGCTGTTGGTGCCTTAGGAGCGTCAGGCACAAAGGTTGCTGCTTTAGCGGCTTCGAACGCTGCTTAGAGCTGACTTCTTGGCAGGGCAGCTCATATTTCAACCATCAAATCCGTCTCTTCTGTTACATATATTGTCTTTTTCTTTTTCGTGAATCTTGTCAGCTTTAATACAGGCTTCTTATTTGACTGCGGGGGCTTGTTCTAGGACAGCGTATGCCGTCGGGAACCTCTGGCACCGAGGCCAGATATCGCTGTTTCTGGGCTCTAACGTCCTTTGCTTACCGCAATCCAGTGGACAATTGCACTCTTACTCACAAAACTATGTTTGACGCATATTTATTCATTTTTTAGTGGCCCGGCTTAAGAATTAAGCCTTTGGACCACAACAGTTGAGGCACAACTGAAGGTACTAATAACGTCAAAGACCTTAAGTAAGGCGAAGTTGTGGCAGTACTGGGATGAGTGCAAGGCCATGTAATAATCAGAGTAGCTGCAATCGCTGCTACAACAAGTCCAAGTCCAGGAACACGTGGGTTCGAACATCTCTAGAAGGTTAAGGCGTAAGGATTCTTACACGAAGAAGTGGGTGCAGGACCAGGACTCGTCTGGCGTGTTCGAGAAGCGATTTTCACTAGGGACAGAAAGGTCAGGCTTAGAAGAATATAGCTTAATCAGTTGTATACCTAAAGATTTAAGATAGGCAAAAAGGGTGACAAGAGGGACTTACTTGTAGGTCGTGATAATAAATTTAAAAGGTCTGACCTTCTTATAAGCGAGTACTGTCATCGACTAGCTGGGAGCAGCTACCAGCGAATTCGTAGGCCTATTAACGTCCTGAAACATAGTTGGGACGCCTAAAGACAAAGAGGCTTGTAGGAGAGACGTCTGCTAGAAGATTTCTGATTCGTGAATAAGGAGATACAGCAGTGGCTTTAAGACGCCTCCAACCAGTCAATCACCTGACCCAACCGCTACAACTTCTTCTCCTCCTCCCCCCGATAATGACCCGCAATTAAGAACGCTAGCTCTAGAGCTTGCTTCTCATTCAATCTCGGATCACAAAAACTCGTATAATTCAGCGAAAGATCATCCTCCTTAAGCCCCTCACTCCCACCTGTACACTCCGTAACCGCCTCCCCTGTTAACTCAAGATGTACACCTCCTAGATAACTCCCCTCCTCCCTATGAACCTTAAGCGTCTCCTTTAACTCTTCTAGAATATCCGCAAACTGTCGGGTCTTGATCCCCGTAGACGTAGACCTCGTATTCCCATGCATAGGATCGCATTGCCAGACTACGCTACGCGCGTACTCGCTGCCTTCGACGGTCCGGATGTGCGTGGGGAGGAGGGACCGCACTTTCGACGCGCCGTACCGGGTAATGAGCGTTATTTTGCCGATCTCGATAGAGGGGTTGAGGGTGCGGAGGAGGGAGAGGAGGTCAGATGGGGTGGTGGTAGGGCCGATTTTGATACCGATTGGGTTAGCGATGCCGCGGAAATATTCGATGTGAGCGCCGTCTATCTGTCTCGTGCGGTCTCCTACCCAAAGGAAATGTGCGGAGGTGTTGTAGTAAGACTTAGTACTATTATCTCCTGTTTGGCCGAAAGCACGTGAGTTTGAGTCGAGAGGTTTTGTAGGGTTTCGGAGAAGGCGGGTGAGGCGCTGTTCGTACTCTAGGAGGAGACCTTCATGACTTGTGAAGAGGTCTACAGTTTGGAGTTGGCCGGCTGTGTCTGCGCCAACGGTGCGCATAAAGCGGAGGGAGTCGGTAATAGAGGAGACGATAGAGGAGTATTTGGTTTGGAGCTCCGGGTCACGTACATGACCGAGACCCCAGTCGAGGGGACGATGGAGGTCAGCAATTCCAGAACCAATAGAGCCCCGAATGAAGTTCAATGTACTTGCAGAATGGAAGTAGGCACTATTGAAGTCAGCTAAGGGGTACGGGGAAGCAAAAGACAAAAAGGAAGAACCAGGTACAGTGTGCTGAAGAAGAGCTTACCTGACAAGACGCGCTGGGTCAAGAGCTCTCTCACTAACTTCAAATCCATTCAAAATGTCTCCTCTGAAAGAAGGAGTTTCAACCCCATCAACAAGCTCTGTAGGACTAGATCTAGGCTTAGCATACTGCCCAGCCATCCTCGCAATCCTAACCACGGGCTTATTTGAGCCCCAAATAAGGACCAAACTCATCTGCAGTAACAATTTGATCTTTGACTCAATAGCATTCTCCTCGCAGTAGTCGAAGAGTTCTGCACAGTCGCCGCCCTGGAGCAGGAAGGCTTTGCCGAGAGCCACATCTCGTAAGCTGGCCTTTAATTTTTCTATTTCGGTGGGCGTCACGATGGGAGGGAGGCGTTCAAGCTTGGAGAGGGATTTCTCTACGCTTTTGCGGTCTGGGTAGATAGCGTCTTGCTTGATGGGTTTACTGGTCCAGGAGCTAGGTGTCCAGGGAGGGGTTAAATCAGTGGACTTGGTAGGGCTATTGAGATGCGCCATTGTTTTTTCTCTAAGAGGGTGCAAATAGATTTGAGATACAATTGATTTAGCAAAAGATGCTAGAGCAAGAGACACGTATTAAGGGAGATATCTGGATGTTACGAAGCCAAAATATCAAACTTGATGGAGATTGAAGAAATAGATGCTTAAGCCAGAAAGTCATCTCAACTTCAGAATGGAGTCATTTGTGGGCAACCGAGTCGGCAGGGGTTGATCTACGCTATCGGCGTCGGTATATGTGGCTGAGTTTAGCGATCCCGCATCGTGAAAGAACCACAGAAACCTCATCTTTTCTCTAACACAACTCAACCGAAAATTGACAGAAGTTAAAACTAACATCTTTGAATATACACTGAAGATAAAATCTCATTTAGACAATTGTGTGTTGTGAAAATAACTTCCTAGGATATTCGTTTTGGTGTTTGTTCCGGACCTGTCAACTAGCTAGCCACTTAATACTGACGCCGATAGCCACGCCATCTTTTGAGACGCTGCTTTAATTTACACTATTAGTGGACACCAGTGCTCTACCGACTGGGCCAAACATGCCTTATATTTTTGTTATTCTATCCGAGTCAAAGGAGAGGCGTCGTACGATACCTAGGCTTTCTTTTCAACTCGGGTTGGAGGTACCCTGCCTAGGTAGCATACAAAACAGTGACATAAGTCATAATCAATCATAGTTTGTTAGAAATATGGGGATTGTAGGCGTAGACTTAGTACTGTAGGCCGTACTACTGAGTACGCTACCCCTTTATATAGGAGATTCTCTCTCTCTGTAGTATGTAAAGGTAGTGGTAACTACTTCTTTACTATACCCGATTAGGAAGAGTCTAGAGCTCGGCAAAGCTCGGTAAGACTCGGTAGAGCTCGGTTAACTCTGAAGGGGTTTACCGACAGTTACCCACTTAGTTATACGCAAAGGGAAATAGCTCTACGCTACTATGGGAGTTTACGTCAAGTTTTACGTCAAGTGTAATTAGGCCTAATCGGGAATAGCCCGGGGAATTTGTCTATATAGGCTCGAGCGCCCTCCACGGAATCGAGGGCTCCTCAGCTTGATATTCGCGCTAATAGAGAGGTTATCACCTGATCCGTGGTTATTTCGCTCACGTGCTAGCTAACGCTAAACCGTGCTATTACACTTAGTAAGTTCCTTTAGCTTAACTAACTTTTACTTAGCTGAAGAGTTCTTTTTAGTAATAGTAAGCTTATCTGTCTTAATAGTAGCGTCCTTCTCTAGAATAAGCTACTAGGCTTTTATAATTACCTTACTTAGTAGATTCTAGCTATTCTAATTCTTACGGGACTTAACTATATTCTTTATAGAATATTTAATACCCTAGATCGAGTTAATACTACTAGCTTTAATAAGTTTATAATCCCTAGTAGTAAGTAGCTTTGCCTTAAGCGCTGTATTACTAGTAAACTTAGCGTAGTTTCTAGTAATAATAATCTTAAACTTGACTTAAGCTTAGGACTCCTTAGTAAAGCTTATAACTTTAGAGCTTAGTTGCTTTATCTTATTCGGGGTATTAGCTTTTATAATCTTATTAAATGATTTAGTATTATTATAATAGTACGCCTTAAACGCTATTATAAACCTATCTTAGTTAGTAATATAATTCGACTTCGGGTTTAAAATACTATACTTACTATTTAGTATATGAAAAGTTTAACTTTTTATACTCTTTAATATTAGCTTTAAAAGGGGCTATTTACTACTGGGTTAGCCAGCTATTAGCCTCCTATATCTTTTAGAAGAATATATAGTTAGAGGTATTTATCTCTTCTTTTTTATTTATTAAGGTCCCTTTTATCTTAGTACTTTTTTTAGAGGTCTCCCTTCTTATTATTTCCTTCGAGTTATCTTTAAGTATATCCTTAGAAGGAGCAATGTTTATTAATTTACTAGTCTTCTCTTTTTTAACTTAAGGGAGATTAGTATCTGCTTTAACTAGATCTGACTCTTACTTCCGCTTCTCTTTAGACTTTCTTAGCTTTTTAATCTCCTTCTTAGTTATCTCGGTATCTTTATACTTTATAGATACCTTAGATAGATAAGAGTCTTTAGGGTCAGACTATTATATCTAAGGTCTAGATAAAGTTCTATAAGCGGTCTTAGATATAGCTTTTTATTTCCCTTTCTCTGACTTCTTCTTCTTCTTAGTCTTATTTATAGCCTTTTACTTCTCTTTCTCTGACTTCTTCTCTTTTTTAGTTTTATTTATAGTCTTTTACTTTCCTTTCTTTAACTTCTTCTCTTTCTTTTTAGTCTTATCTACTTTTCTTTCTTTTTTATTTAGCTTACTAACTAGGGATAGGTTCTTAATAGTAGCCTTATCCTTAGGGTCCTTTAGCTTAGCGATAGGGGCCTTAGTAATAGATACTTTCTTAGTAGTAAACACTTAAGTAGTTAGTTTTTTAGTATTATTACTTAAATTACTATTTTCTTAGTTATTAACTATTAGGGAGATAGCCTTATTTTTACTCTTATTAACTTAAGCTATAGTATTAGCTCTTATTAACTGTAGTATAGAAGCGATAAAGTCGAGAGTAGCTTTTATATACTATAGTATAACATATAAAAGGGAATAAACCTAGCTCGGAGGTGGAAAATATAAGAATAGAGTATAATTAACGAAAATAGTTATTTAAAAATCGAAGAAAAGAAAGATAGAGATAAAATATATATTTATAGTTAGATAAATAAGTAGTTTAAAGGTTAGCTTATTTAGAAAGTATTAACTCTTAGATCAAGTAGTTATACTTACTAAGTAGGTCTGACTTATTTCAAAGAAAAGTAAGAAGTTAATCTAGTAGTAAATCTGAAGTTAAAAGGTAAATCTTAATAAAACAGATATAAAGTACAGGTTAGAGTATATACTAGAAAGTAGATACTACGTGATTTAAAGGAAAGAGATATTATAGAATAAAAGTAAATAGTAAGCTATTTTAGACTTAAAATAAAACATAATAGTTAATAAAGACTATAGTTATACTATAAGGTAACTTACTTACTCTTAAAACCCTTAGTATTTATACTTAGAAAAATTATATATTATAGAATATTTACTCTAGGAAAGAAAAGGTCTTAAAATAATAAGTTATATATTATAGATCAGAGTATTAAATAAACTCTACTATCTATTTAATAGTAATCTATCTCTTCTAATAATAAGATAAGTAGTACTAAAAGCTATATTATAAGTATAAGTGTAAAGTGTAATACTTTTATACTATAACTACTTAGTTATAGTTAAACCTTACCTTAGATTAAGACTTAACTATGAGTTATTCTAGGCCTTATATACTAGAGTGTAAAAGCTTATAACTATTAAATATTTAAATACTATAATATATAAAGTGTAAAGGTAGATTAATCTAAGTATATAATATATATTATAGTATATAATAGTTATATTCTGCTAGTTATAGGTAGTATAATACTTACGCTAGAGTAGTATATAAGTAGCGGTATAAAGATAAGTCTTGGCTATATAGCTGAGTTAATCCGGTTAGTCTATATTATATTATATATATAGTTATATTAGAATAATATTAGAACCCTAAGACTATAGAGGGAGATAAGACCTATGAAGCCTGCTAAGCCTTAGATTAGGATAAATTTTGTCTTTATAAGTTATTATAGAATACCTCGCTTGAGGTTAAATACGCTTACTGGCCTTAGTATTAGGATTAAATAGTGGCTTATTACACTAGTTAATCGAGTAATTGTAAAGCTTGTATTACGTGACTACTTATATATTACTACTAGGGACTAACTTTAGGTTAATTTATTATACTTAGGTAGGTACTTTAAACTAAGAGTAATTAAGTAGCTAATATTAATACTAATAGAATCTATATATTAGTACTTAGCTAGTATATACCGGTTGTTTTATATAATAATTGAAAAGGTGGACTAATTCAATTAAGGGAGTATAATCCTAGGGTCTTATAGCGATTAAATTCGAGGTAATATGACTTTTAATATATAAGTACCTTAAGAGAGGTATAAGGGCTGAATATTTATATTAGCTAGTTCTTATAAAGCCTCTTACGTTAGGATAACCGGGTTAAATATAAATAGGTATTTTTATACGTGATAAATAAGGAGGCGGTATAAGTGATAACTATATAGATAAGGCGATCGGTTTAAGTATAGTATAAAGTGAACGAGAAGATACTTAAAGTAGTACTAGTATTAGAACTTCTATAGGACCTGGAGATCGAGGAAAACAAAAGAGTAATAGGGTAAGAGTATTTTATAATAATATAAGTAGAAGCGGATAATAAGGCGTAATATAAGTAATCTTATTGTATTATACCCGCAGATAGGATACAAGTAGAAACTGAGAATACTACTTCTTACTTATACTCTGAGACTTTAATAAGGGTAAGTTATATAAAAGGTTTATTATTTGTTATTAAGACTGCTTATATTAAAGAAGAGCTTAATAGTTCAAATATCTCTTAGGTATACTAGATCGTTATTATTAATATATATACTAAAAGTAGAAAGAAAAACTACTTTTAAAAACTATAAAAATAAATATTATAAAGTATTTTCTCTTAAGAGTTAAACTATATCCCAGCTTAAGTGATAGACGACCTTAATATCTATATAGCGCCCTTACTTAGACTTATATAGCTAGGTTTAATAAGTTTAGTAAGCTAAAGCAGCGGCTGAAGGTCTATTAAAGGATACTTATATAACTACTAAAGCTTCCGAGTAGCCGGTTTCTTGTTATTATTTCTTTCGCTTAGAGGTAAAAGTACCTTTTATCTAGAAAATCGCGAGTATATTATACTCTGCTTTTTAGTAAAAGTTATTAGAGAGGGAATATCAGGGTTAAGAGAAAAGTTACTTAGAGCCTATAGTAGGAACAGGCTAGTTATCTCCTTAGATATAGAATAAGCTTTATTAGCAGGGGTTACTTCCTTAGAGTGCGGAGCCGACTTAAAAGCTATAAGGGTATTGTTCTATATTAACTAAG